TTGAAGGTTTTACTAGAACTCGAGTCAGCCAAAAGTGGATTACGCCCGGGTCTGGTTGGACCAAATAGAAACGTGCAGATCCTGGGATCTCTTAATGCCCAAAACGATGTCGTTTTGTGATAGTATAAAAGGCCAAATTCGATCTTTTTTCACCATATATTTTTTTTCTTTTTCTCTTTTTCTCTCTAGGATTTAAGAATATCGGTTGAATATTTCATTAGATTCTGAGATTTTCACCAAAATTTGGCCAGAAGTTCATCGATTTCTAAAAAATGGATGTCGAAAATTAGAAACTTCATCGAAAACTTTGAATTTCGTCGAAAAGTCATCGAAAAATTTAAATCTCGTCCAAAAATTGCTCGGAATTTGGAATTTTTCTAGAAATTTCCTAGAAAAAATTTCAAAAAAATTTTCTAAAAATTCTAAAATTGCCTTTGCTATTCTAGAACACAAATGGCTTAGAGAACACAAATTGACCTTGGCCCAAAGAGGTCAGATCCCTAGCCCAAATAGGTCGAATCCCTGGCAATCTTTTAAGCCAACAAACATATGTAAGATAAATTAATCACCTACCTAACAATCTGATACTCAAACTACCCAATAGAAGGATAGAATGTTAAAGGCATTTAATGGTCAAAAGGGCATTATAATCTTTTTCCCTTATTAAAGGCTATCAACAAACAATGATGAGCATTTTGAACATTTGAGTCGACCTGACATGTCAAGTTGGCTGATATGTTTTGTGCCACATCAATTCAACTACATCATTGTTACCCCTGAAGATCCCTCATCCTATCTATAAATATAGACATCTAGATATTATCATTCTAAGTTCCTTTTTATTCTAATTCTTTACTTTTCTTTCCTTCTAACTTCCTTTGTTCTTATCTCTAACTTATGCGTTAGATTATAAATGCAAAGAACACTCATTACCTTTGCATTTAACCACTCTTTCCCTTTTTTTTTTCTTTCCAAGAAGACTCTTAGGTCGAAACTCGACACAAACAATATCTATTTATCTTTTCCCAAATTCTTTTATCTATTAAAAATCAAATCAATAAAGTATATGAAAGAGTAATCTAAATAGCAAGAGTTAAAATCTTTCAAAAGAAAATTTAAAGTGAAACAAGTATCCATTTATTAGACTTTTTGAATCATTATCCTTCAAACAAATTTTGGATTATTGTGAAAGTATGAAATCATCACACTTTTGGACAAAAACAAATCATCACAATATGTCTGTTCACATTCACCAAAATAGCGTTCTTAAAATATTATTTTATAGTTATTTTCAATTTCTTTACTTTTTCCTTTCTTTTTACATCTTTTGTTCTATTTTAGATTTTCTTGTTTTTTCTTTATTTTTTTAATTTGTAGTAGTACAAATTTATATATTAGATTTTGCTCATCTCCAGTTTACATTCAAACTAAAAAGAATTGGTTGATGGTGTGATGAAGTTCAAGCTCATCTAGTGTTAAAGGAAAAGTAAGGGCTACAATTGAGACATAATGTAACTAACTTAGACACATCTAACATTAGAGGAAATGGGGTTATTTTTCAAATATATAAATATTGAAAGATAAAAGATTGTTTAAGAATAAATATTTCAACAAAATGTATAAGACAAAAAATAAGAATTAAAGAATCTATTTTTCTTAAAAATTGAGAAGTGGAAGATTTATGTATTTTTACTGTTTGCTTTTATTTCCCTTGTTGGTAGTGGGGACAGAGTTGCATTGATCTTTGTGCCAAGGGCAAAAATGTGATGTTGACTATTGAAAGGATTGTGAGAAAAATTGGCGATTGGGTGGGGGAGGTTGTGATTTCGTACTTGCTTTTGGTAGAGAAATAAAGCAAAATGGAAACCCAATAAATTTTATCATCATCCTCTCCAAATATTCTCCCCTTTGATCATCTTTTTCTTTTATTTTGTGACTATTATCATCAACTTAGCACAAAAAGGGATAAAAACCTTCACAAAATTCCAAAAATTAAGAATTTAGTTAAATCACAAGTATGAAAAAATAAAAGAAAAAACAAGAAATATCTTGTGATTTGTCAAATATGTCTGACATGGATTCCATACGTATGAAATATTTTGTTTTAGGAATTAAGTTCAAAACTACCCTAATATAGTTAATAAAATCAAAAAGTGACTTCACATAAGAAAAAGCTTAGTTAAGAGTTAATGTGGTAATTAAGTACTTATATGACAAAAAAATCTAATTTTGAAAATAAGAATAAAAATACTTTATGTTGAGAATAAAGATTTTTAAATCACTTAGTTAGGACAAAACTTCAGCTAACCAATACAGAGTTCCAAGTGACTTGGACTCTGAATTGGGTTTGGTTCATGAGGAAATGGTTTTTTGGTTTTGTTTAGGCTAATATCAATCCAAGACCATAAGACTATTCCTAATTTTTAGGCTTTCATTTTATTAATTTATTACTAATTATTTGATTATTGACCAACTAAACACTAATGTCTCTAATTGGTCAAACTTAATTACTTTTTTATGTGCTAAGTCCCTTGACCTATTTTATGAATTATTTGGGTGTCAACTAGAAAAATAGACTGAAATTATGAAATTCTTATTTTTTTTCTCTACTTGCATCTTTTAAGAAGAAAACTTCTTCACATTTACTCAGTTATTATGCCAAATTATGCCAAAAGATTCTATACTTTGCCAAAATTTAGAATTTAGTTCCAACATTATAATTTATACAAATTTAATCCTCAAATTATTTTTAATTTTATAATTTTAATTCAATCATTAATTCGTTATATTTTTATTGTAAAAAACTACTGATGTTGGTGTTGATTTATTGATGTACCATTGACTATATTAATGTGGTAACTTGGATGAATAAAATCAGTTACCAAATTACGCAAATAGTCCCTATACTCATATAAAATTTAAACTTTAGTACATCTTATACAATTTTAAAAAATCTTGTCTTTGTACAAGTTAATTTTAATAATATCGGTCCAATTATTAATAAAAATATTATTTTTTACTTTTAAAAAAATCATATGTTAGTTTTTTTTAAAATCAACATTTGAATTTTTTAGAATTTTTTTCATATATTTAAAATATTAAATTTAAATTTTTTTTAAATTTTTTAATTTTTAAAATCATATTTTATGAATTTTATAAAGTTTGGTTTTATTTTTAAAAGAATTCAATATTTTGAATATTTTAGAAAATTTTATATTTTAAAAAATATTAAATTTAAAATATTCAATATATTTTTTAAATTTCATGTTTGAAATTTTTGTATTTTTTCAATTTTAACACTTTATTTAATCAAAATATTTAATTTTAATATTTTTTTAAAATTTTTATAAAATTTTCAATATCACTTATTTTTATGTTTCGTTTATAAATGTTTTTATATGTTCTTTTTAAATTTTTTGTGTTTTTAAAAAGAGTTTATAAGTTTTAAAAATTTTCTATATGTTTTTTATGTTATTGAAGGAAAAATATATTATAATTAAAAGCTCTTTATCATTCTTTTTATTACTCTGCTTTATTTTGATTTTTATGTTCTTCTACCTCAAATATATCAAAATAAAACAAATTTTAAAAACTTGTGTCTTTTTATAATTTATTTATTTATTCATCTAAATATTAAAATATATAGAAATTTTCTAAAAAAATTAAAAAATATAAAAATTCCAAAAAAATTAAAAATAAAATTTTGATATTTTGATTAAATAAAATGTTAAAACTTTCAAAAATATAAAATTTCAAAAGATAAATTTTATTTTAAAAAATTATAATATTTAAAAAAGTAAAATTAATATATTTTAAAAAAATCTAGAAATTTTCTAAAAATTTTGCAATATTAAATTTTTTAAAAAATAAAATATGATTTTAAAAAAATAAAAAATTATTTTTAAGAATTCCAATATTAAAAATATTAAATTTAATATTTTAAAAATAGAAAAAATTATAAAAAATTGAAATAGTGTTAATTTTAAAAAAAATTAATATCTGATTTTTAAAAAAATAAAAAAATATGATTTTTATTAGTAATTGGACCACTATTATTAAATTCAACTTGTATAAGGACAAAGGTTTTATTAAATTAACTAGATGCATTAAATTTTAAATTTAAATTGGGTACAAAAACTATTTGTATAATTTAATAATTGATTTCATCCATCTAAATTATTGTATCAACAAAGTCAACATCTACATTGGCATTTTTAATGACAAAAAAATTAATAAAATTAGTGATTAGATTAAAATTATTAAATCAAATAATATGAAAATTAAATTTATATGAATTACAATATATATACTAAATTTCAAATTTCAATAGAGTATAAAAATCACTAACATAATTTGACCCAATTATAAATTATATTTTTATTCTTATTTTCTATTTCCATAACTTTTTTTCCTTGTTTTATGTTTTTCCTTTCATCCTTTTTTATTTTAAAAATATAATTTATCAACATATTTAAACATTCTAAACTCTTTTGATATAAAAAAATAAAATAAAGTTGATAAAGAAAAATAAAAATGCTTTAAAACATTTGAAACAATAAGAAAATAGTGATAGTATACCTTTTTAATCAATAACTCAGTATTTAAAAAAAAAAAAAGGTGTTTGAATTAAATACTCGCGCATTACTACATGATAAACTCTTTTCAAATAATTTTTACTATTCTTTAAAAATATTTTTATTTTTCGTAAAATATGTTAATATATTAACACTTTGAAAATTTGCTAGTGATTATTGAGAAACAAATTATATTGTATCTTTACTAAGAAAATTAACAATTAAAATTCTTAAAATTAATAGTTATCCAGTAAAATAATTTGTCAAAAAAATTTAATATTTGTTTAGTGAAGATATTAGTAGTATATTATCTGTCCAATATAGAAAAATAGGTCATCAAGTTGACTTTACATTGAATTTATATACAATAACTACAAAATTAATTACATGCATACTATAAAAGTAGTCCCCTAACTACAAATGAATATACACCTCATCATTGTCTTACAAAAAGATTGGGGGTTAAATTTGGGAAAAAAATTGGTTTACGGTCCATCGCCTGTTCCTCCCCTCTCCTTCTCTCCTCAGGGGTCTTTTCCTCTCCTCTCCTCTCCTCTCCTCGATGACAACTCTTTCTATTCTGTCATCCTTTTCGTTCCTTTGTTAGCAGTGTTGCCACCGTCTCTTCCACTGGCATGGCTACCGTTTGTCAACGTTGGTTTCCCCCGACTCTTCTTCATCAGGCTTTGCTCTGAAAACCCACTTAAAAAACCTGAAGGATAATGCCAGAAAATAACTTTGGAATTGATTATTTCTGCTGAAGGCTTTAAATGTGCCAAAAGGGGAGAGACATTGAGAAAAGGAGCTGAAGAATCCGAGGTAAAATCCAAACAGTAGACAAACGCATCGGTACCTGAGATTTCGTCAAAGTTGAAAACCAAGGGAGAGACTGTGGTTTGATAGTGATGATCTTGTTGATCAGTAGGCTGTGTTCATGGAAGCCACAAAAACTGAAAAGGTAAGTTTGAAAGATCTGTGCTTTTATGGAGATGTGAGATTAGTTCATGCATGAATCTTATCCACCATCCAATCCCTTCGAACCAGGTAAATTCCAATTTTTGTGAAACATCCAGTCAAAATTGCAATTAATTCCTGATAGAACTGAAACTGTCTTTGGCAGGAAATGCAATACAATGGGATTATTAACCAATTAGTTTGCTGACATCATTCTTGGGAGCTTTGAAACCCTTTCTAAGTTCCGACTCGCCGCCGACTTTAAACGAAAATAAAAAAGTTGGATACTACTGCCGTTTCTGGTTGTTCCTTTGTCTTCAATAATGTTTTCATTGATACCAGCCCCGACACCTACTTGGCCATGATCTTCTCCGACTCTGACACTGTTTCTGATCTGAAAAGTAAGTCGCTTTCTCCTTTTTCCCTCTCAATTATGATTTCTAGGTACTATTGTTTAGTTGGCATGTCTAAGCAAATTTTCTTGCTTTTCTCTGCTTTTTTTTTTTTTTTTTCTTTTGGGGTTATAAATGCTATCTGGATTCAGTTCCATGCTAAGCAACATTATGGGTGTGACTTTGTGATCTCTTTTTCGATGATTTATTCAATGCCAGCTTAAGTTTTGTTTTTGTTTATATACTGTTTTCATCCATTTGAGACCTCAAAGATAAAAATTTGAATCAAAATTTACTTAAATTTCCCCTGGAATGGACCTAAAATCGAGAGAGCTAGAGGTGTTCAAATGGATGAAAGAGTTGGTGATGTCACCAAAAGTTCTTCTAGAATGTTTGAACGGGAAGTAACATTGGCAATGTTACGATAAGAAGATTTAGTTATGTAGTGGAAGTTATGGATTATTTCTCTTTATGCTTTATCATGCTGAAAAAAAGTTAGTAGTTGTTATTTATGCAGTAGAAGTCATGGATTATTTCTCTTTAAGCTTTATCCTTCTGAATAATAATTGCTGGTTGTAATTGTTTAACTTCTTTTTGAACTTAATTTAAGTTAATCTACAAAACTTCTTTTCACCAATATAAGGTGTTTAAATATTGTAGATGGAGGGTTTTTTCGGAGGCAAATCCTTATAAACCACAGTTCTTGCTCTCAAACTTTTAGTGACTGATATAATCTTCAATTTTAATATTAACTGGTTGTGTTTAAAATTCCGTTGTTTAGATAATATCTTTGTGCTCCTAATGTGCAGAAAAGATACCATATGAACACCCATTGCGCCTTCTTAATATTGGGGAGATAAAGATTTATGCCTTAAAGGTACGATGCTATATCTTGCATTTCTAGGTTTTTAGGGATGCTTATTGTTGATTTAAATCCTATGTTGAAATGGCTGCATACACATGAACAGGTAAAGCGTAGAGGATATTTTTATCACCTTTCAGATTCCATGTTTGTAAAAAGCGCATGAGCAAAAGTTGGTTTCTTTCTGTTGATGCCTCAAGTGCAGAAGAGCATAGAGAAAATCATAATTACCTCCAAATCAATACACGATTAGGCTCTCTCCCATTGGCTACGAATAATATTGCTGCACTTAACATCCATTATCAATTTATCGTTAAAATATTTAGTGAAAAAATGGCTTGAAAAGAAATTTCGAAAACTTGGCTTCCTTGAAGCAGTTTAGTTCTAAATGGCTAATCTATATTAAACCAAATAGTAGTAATGCAGCGCAAGAGTGTGGAATGATGGCTTTGACTTGCAAAACATGTTTTTTTTTTTCTAGGTAATGTAACTATCTAATATAATGCATATAAACCTGAGGTAAAAGATAGAAAGGAGGTGCAGTTCTGTTGGTCTTGGATGATGCAGCCAGAGAAGCTTGAGTTGGTATTGATATTCATATGATGGATTATGTAACATTCGTGCATAGGAGCTTGCATCGATGATTATATTTACATCTAGCACCCTGCCAGGGATTCATTTGACGTGTATAAATATTTGATTTTGTAATCTAAAAGCTGATTTCATTATGGATGTTTTCCTGTCACCATGCAATGCCAGATAAAGCTCTTATTTTCTTTTAATCATTATTGGTTAGCCCATTATCATTTCTTATGTTTGTGTATTACTAAGGCTTTTCTCTTTGTTGTTTGGCAGAGATCTTGATGAAAATATGAGGGATGCACTCCATAGTTTCATTGAAGAACGACGGGTGAATGAGAGTCTGCTTTATTTTATTTCATTATCATTTTGAATGTATTCACATTTTTACAAATTAATTTAATTAAATGTCAATGATAGACTCGTAACGAATACTTTTTAATTTAATCATTAATATTATAATTGTCTTAAATATCATTTTTTTTCTTTCTTTCTTGCTATGATCTTACTTTTACTTTTAATAATATTTTTATATCAATTTACAATCATTTTAAATTTTTTCTATTTATTTTCTTTTTCAACCTTTTTATGCTTCAATTTTTTTGGTTGTTTTCATTACAAGTTTTTGTTCTCCATTGTTTAACATTTTTCTTTTTTTTTTTCTTCTTTAATTCTCCTTTCTCTTCTTTTTTCTCTTTTTATTTCTACCTTTCCATTCTTATTATTTCAATCATTTTTTCTAGACCTCGAACCTGAAAAATTCATCCAACTTATCCAAACTTGAGCTAGACCTAAATTGATTTGACTAAAAATATCAATAACCTAAACCAACTTAACTTAAAAACCAAATCAACATGAACTAAATGATCCAAAACTAAAATAACCTAAAAAAAATTCAAAATAACTCGAAATTAATTTAAGTGTAATTTTATTTAAAAATATCAATTTAATAAATATAACACAAATAATAACTTATTAAAAATATTAAAAATATCAAATTAATATATATTTTATTATCGAACTAATATAAATTATATATATATACTATGTTACTTATAAAACTTAAAATTTGTAATATGATTTAAAATAAATTATATATTTTTAATTATTACTGGTATGCAAATCATTGTATTATTTAAAATAAATTGTATAATATATTATAATTAATAATATGTATCAATTATCATATGATTTAAATAAAGTATATAAAATAAGTAATTGATTTATGTATTATACTTTATGTTTATATTATCATTATATTAATTAATTTTTACATTATGCAATTAGATTAAAAATTATAATGAGCTACAATTATTCAAAAATACAAAATAATATGAGTTACAATTATACTAAATTAATTATTTATATTATAGTTATATTCTTAATATAAGAAATAATTGCGTATTAAATGCATATCATAATTAAATATTTAAATTATTTTATATGATTAAATTAAATATATAATTATGTATTATAAATAAAAATTTAAAATAATTTTTATTTATTTATATTAAATTAAAATAAATATAAAAAATTATTAAATATGTCAAACGTGATAAACATGTTTCGCGTATCTTATACATGCACTTATATAGCATAGTTTAATTAAATACATTTTTGTATCTTATACATACCAAAATTTGTGTAAGCACCGTTAAATGCGGAACCTTTTTTTTTTTAAATCATGCAATTTTTTTTTTTAATTTCATTTTGGGGTTGCATCATATCATAAAATTTATCAAATTTAATAAAATTATTTTTTTTATTTATATAAAAATTAACTTTAATTTAAAACATACAAACTACAATATTTACATTTATTTTTAAAATATTTTTTTATCATTTAAAAAAATTATAATAAAATTTAACTTGAACTCAATTAAATAATTTAATTTAATTCTAAAAATTAATAAATTAAATGTGATTCAAACTCAAATTATTCAAATCCAAATAACTTGAATGTCAACTCAAAATATCTAAACTTAATTTGGGTCTCTCAAAAAATAATTTAAACCTAAAATAACTCAAAATGAAACCTAATAAAATTTGACTTAATTTTTTAAAATTGGAAATGAACAGAATTGAATTTGCCCAACCCGAACCCAATTTGCCCTGTCGACAGGTCTGCCTCTTCTTCCCTCACGTTTCTTGTTTTTCCATTTTATTGATAGAATATCTGCATCTTCATAATATTTCTTTCTAATATTGCATTGTACTAATTTGATATTTTTAGTGTTAGTGATGATGTAGGATCATAAGGGTATAATCGTTTTTTACCCGAACTGAAGATAATTTCCATTCCAAAAACATTATTGTCTTTTACACCATCCTTACGTGGACAAGACGATTATAGATATTCCCCCTTGTGTGACCTAAATTCTCGGATCCAGATACCAACGTCGGACTGCCTCAAACAACGATGTACACCTCACGTCTCATCACTCTCACATGATCATATACACTTGTCATTCAGGCATTGACTATCCAAAAACCGTATCGGCTCATATTGATACCACATCAAGTCGAATCAAACAGATCAGACCACATCATCCCTCTAGGTAAAAATATCACGTTTCTTTCGTGTCACTCTTTAACACCACTCATTTTCTCTCATTTACCCATTCTTAGGCCAATCTTTACTTTAATCTTCCTTCACCCTTTTGACTTAAATGTCCGAGCACAAAAGCAGATCAACCTCCAACCTCCAACCTTTGTCTTTTTTCTTCATTTCTAATATTTGCCCTCATATCAGTTTTCAACAATAACAAGTGCCAATTTGGGGCTTCGGCAGAAATGATGGACAACCTCCGCCTAGAATACTTATCTATTTTTGTGCTTGAACATGAATATAACCGAGAAACCCAAAAAGGAATAAGACATTCCTCTCATCAAACAAGCTATAATATAACTGAAGATTGAAAGGATTGTCATTTATTTGGTATGGCACAATTTCATCTTCACAACCTAAGGGTGTACTAGCAGTTGCAAGATATCTAGTTCTTGTCCATGTACAATTTCAACAACTAAATCGGAAACATTCGACCAAGTATGTCAGTTAACAATACAGCTTTATCTATGTTCTGTCCTGTCTTCCAAACCTTAAAATCATTAGGGAAGTAATCAGCATCCATCCAAGCTTTTAGTGATTTGAGAGAGAAGGGGCCCTGTAAATCTCCTTGAGGATCTGCATAATGCCACATCAAGCTATTCACATCCTCATGTGCCTGAACTTCATTTAAATCCTTCTGTTCTTCATCATCACTCAAGTCAATCACTTGAGTATTGAATATTTTTACAAAGCTTTGTTTGTCTATGGAGCCATTTTTTTCTGGTCCATTCACAAGTTGTGCACTTTCATCATTACCCTCTCTTGGTTGTGTTAGCCGTTTGTGAACATCATGCCAATGAACTGCAATAAATGAAATAAATGACTTACAAGGATGATTGAGAAAAGAAGCAAAAGATTGCACACTTCTGCGTGATGGGGTTTTGTCTCTTTTAAGTCCATACAACAAGTCCACAAGAAAAAAACTGCAGTCAAGAGTCTATAAGGTGATTTTCAACCTTCATAGCCCTGCACACACCTTTTGTATATTTGACACCATAGAATAATGAACCCTCAATCTAAATGACAGGGTGTAGACATGATAAATATTTTTTTTCCCTCTATTAGTTAACAATTCTAGATGGATTATAAGGACTAGCATATCTGCAGGGTTGAATCATACTGAGCACATTTTCCTAACCCTTCATTTTGGTAATGAAAAGAACAAAGTGAAGAAATATTGACAAAAAAAACTAATTTACAAATGTTGCTCCTCCATTCCTTTCCTGCCTACTCTATCTAAGTGTTTTCATTAACAAAGAAAAAATTTTATAAATACCAATATCATCTTTTGAAATTGGGAAGGAAGATTGGACCACTGCAGAAATAAAATAAAACAAAGTTAGTGGCTGTTAAAGTTACACTTTGAAATACAGCTATTGGAACAGTTATTGATTTAAGCTCCAGTTATTCGAATACCATGCAAAGTATGAGAAATCCTAGAATCAAGGGAAAATCAGCATTTAACATTTGCTTTTGCTGATTAATAGAACAAAGACTGTCCAAAAAACTAATAGGATTAAATTTTCGTAACCATTCTTGTACTTTTGTTTGGAACTCAAAATGTTTGCACGCTTCTACTTTTATATAATGACAACTTTTGCAGGGGAATATTAAAAGCATAAGTTCTGCCTGGTACCTTGGTAGGTCAAGGAAAATAAACAAAGTGCAGATCATTTTTTTTTTTATGCTAAAGCCATATGGGTTTAACTCAGATGAGCTTTCCTGGAAAGGAAAGGGGATTTTTTTACGCAGAGACAAGCATCACAACATCTGCATGTTGCTGTGGCATATGAAAATTATGTTTTAATATTTTTTTATATTAAAAATTGAAACATTTAATGAAATTAGATATAATATATATATAATATTTGTGTGTAATAAATTAATACTCTATTGACAAGTAAGTTAAATTGAAAATTTTGTAAGAAGTTATTTTTGTATTAATATTCATATAAACAATTATAATTAAAGGTTCACACTACTTGAGCTATTACCTACTGATATCGTTATTAAGAGTTAGTTCCACTAGAATTTATTAAGTATAATCACACATAAAGTACTCAATTAAGCTAACATATATGAAGTGTTCACTCAATTGAATTTAGAAATATATCATTACAATTAATAATCTTTACTTAAAAGTATCATTTATGAAAGAATAAAAAGCTAAAGTGGTAGATAATACATCTTACCAAAAAAATATGCAAACTAAAATAAGGTAAAAGAACAAAGGAAAACAAAAGGTAAATTAGAAAGAAGAAAAAAAAAAGAAAGAAAAAAAGAAGTAAACATAAAGTAAGGAGAAAGACTCAAATTAATTAGAGAGAAGTGAATAAGTTCTTGATAAAAGGCAGAAGACTCTACTAAATATAGAAATATTAGTTAAATTAAATTTAGAAATATATCACTATGATTAATTATCTTAACTCAATAATTTCGTTTGTGGAAGAATATAAAAACTAAAGTGGTAGAATAAATATTTTACCAAAAAATTGCAAATTTAAATAAGGTAAAAATCCAAAGGAAAACAAAAGGTAAATTAAAAATCAAAAAACAAAAAAAACCAAAGAAAGAAAGAAAGAAATAAAATTGAAGGAAAATGACAACAGTGAATTAACAAGAGGAAAGTCATTGTAGCTATAACAATGACTTAAGAACACTCTTTTACTTGTATTCTATATAGTATACTATGATATGAGGTCCAAGTCATAGTAATCATCTAATAGAGAAATAAAATAAGCACTTTGTTATGACATGTCTGTAGATGAATTCTTAAGACAAATCCCAGAAGAATCCCTTGTTCCAAAAAAAAAAAAGAGAAAAACCTAATATTTTAATTTCTTAGAATTTGGCCATATGGAATTCAAATGTTTGCTTCTATCTATGGAATATTTCCATAATGATAGTAAGGCAAAGTTGGATACTTACTATTTTAGCTAAAGCATTTTCACTAAAGCAGCAGGATTACAATCACAAAGCTAAATGAATTTCCAGCCACTTAGCAAGAACAACTGAAGGTTACATTATGTATGATGATGCCAGCCTTTTATTTTTATTGAATTTCAATTTCATATCTTGTAATACTATCAAGTTAGCTACATGTATTCTTCACCGGGAAGTAACTCTTGGCACCCAGAAAGAAAAAAAGAATAAAGAAATAATTCTATTTTCCCTGAAAAGCACTCGGTTGAAATAGAAACATGACACATTAATTTCAGCAATCAAATCAAATAAGACTAACTGATTCAAGCAACTGAAAATGCAGAGTATGGTTATATTTGAGGCCACTTTAAAAGTTAGGTGAGCCTAAACATTACTGAGATTGACAGGAAATATAAGTCCAACAAAGCCACCGACCAACAAGTAAAATAAGGACTTGAAATATCCTTCTTGTAGAAGCATGATAATAATGCCAACCAACAAATATTAACAGCTGAGACAGCAAGCATCTCCAAGGAGTCAATGGTTTCAAAATAGGACTACCGGAAGTGAAGGTGGTGTTTACAATGTTACAGAGATTGCAGCACTGGAAAAAGGTTTCTATTTTATTTTCTTTTACCGGGAATCAATACTATTTCTATTGTATAAAATCCACAACAAAACAGCATAATTTTCAATATGATAAATGATTTCGCAACAATGTCATCCTACCCTGCACACACTTCACAAACAAACCAGGGTACTTGTCTCAAATGCCAAAAAAGTGAGTATTTACATACACACACACACTACATGCAATATTATACATTTTTCCCTAAGGCTAAAATATTAGGTGATAAAAAAGAACTATCAGTTGATCAAGTAAATGCACTCCCTAAGCGAAAACACAATGCATTTTCTATTTAGATGCAATATCCGCAGATCAAATCCTCTCTCTCTCTCTCTCTCTCTCTCTCTCTCTCTCTCTCTAAAGACAAAGAATCTGACAAAAAAGGAAATAGTCCTATATGGATAGCCTACCTTTTCAGGCATGTGTATAGTCTCAAAATATTACATGTGCTGCCATTACTTCACATTTCAAAAATTAAAATCCAAAGCTGATATTGAAATTTATAAATAAATTGCAAATATTTCTTTTCCTTTTATGTCAAAATAGTAAAAGACACTACATGTACATATTTGAGTCCTTAACTAATCTGTCTCTCAATCACTGTTACAAATAGATGGCTCAAAGGTTGAATTCCAATATAGTTTTGTAGGTTCCACAAGCTTTTGCCTATCATTCTCTTTATTTTTTCCTTTTAATTTTTGTTGTCTAAAGTTTTATAAGTGACAGTATGAAAAAGCTGAAAGTGTGAAGAAAAGTTTATAGTATTATATTGTTGTTTAAAAATTTATGGAGTTTATATATCCACTATTCTTTTGTGCTCTTTCATATCATTACCCGATATGTCTCGACTAACTATTTTAAACAATGTATTTACATAGTATGATTTTAAGAAGCGTGACTATGTTATTTTTGAGAAGTATGACTATGTTATTGAGGTTAAGATTAATCCTTTTGTTTGATGTTGTGATTTAGCTCTTGGTGGTGCAAGGTTGTTTTAAGACAACTCTATGGTGTTGAATATCTTTTACTTGAGTTTAAAAGTTATAGGCATAATGTTGCTAATATCTGTTGGTAATGACTGTTTGTTGAAGAGCTGCATGTTCACCAGAATATTTATAAAAAGTTTCAAATTTAACATAGAGCTTAATACCAGTTTTGATTTTTTTTTCTTTTCTTATATAGTTAAGCTTATAAAATTTAAAACATAATTGATTGAAGATCAGCGATGATTAAAGACTAGCATGTTTGTGGTCCTTATTTTGCATGTTAATAGGTTTGCTCATGTGATTTTTTTTTGGTCGCACACATGGTAATAAGGTCATAATGTTGCTAGTGCTTGTGCAAAATATGCTCTATCTATAGATGTTGGGAGGAATCAGATTTACTTACTATTTTTGTTCTTTATATTCGTTTGATTTGTTAATCATGGAGATGGTTTAATTTTAGTTTGAATGAATTGCTTTCTTCTATTAAAAAGAATGAATTATTGTCTTGAAGGCAATTGTTAATCTGAAATCAAATGAGTTGGAGAAAGCAAAGTTGCAAACCTTCAATACCATGTGACTCTAAAACTAAGATACAGTTTTTGTACACTAGACAAGAATAATGTTTGCCTTAATTTTATATAGCAATTGATAAAAGGTTCTATGCGCCGTTAGTGTTTTACATGCTGAACAAGTATCCTATAATTTTAACTTATAAAAGCTTAATTTTTTTGGGTCAACATAAAAGCTTAGTTAATATGCATGAATGTGTCACAAATTTATTTATATATGTATGTACTCTAATTGTTAACATGTAAAGTTGCAACCACAATATTTGCATTAAAGGCTATGCATTCAATCATGCATGGTTTAAGTCATTTTTAAACTATTAATCACACCATCCCATAAATAAAAAGTTTCCTAACTGATCTTAAACTAAGAACAGATTAATTATTTTGGCAAAAGATTCATCTTTTCATTTTAGGAAGAATAAAATCCGTATATAAATTGGCTATGATCAATTCCTTTTTATATCTAATTATAGAGGATTCTTAGTATTTTCATTAAAACAATTAACTAAAAGTCAAATTCTTGTATAATATATATGCAAGACACTTACTTGGTATCTTTAAAACAACAAAAATTTTGATCACTTTCCTTTTGTAGGATAAACACTAAAAGAAAAAGGAAAACCATAATTTTAAAGGTACTACATAAATAGATCTCTAACAAAAGAGATTTTCATTTTTTCATCTCATTAAAGGTGCACATTTAACCTATTTTTAAATTTCCTTTTACTTTTAGATTAATATTCTATACACCATCCATTGACATTTCAAATTCTATAATTGGAGTTAAAGTGTTGCGAGATGATTACTTAGTTATTATCTTAAGTTATTAATTTCTTTATATGTAGCATAATGGGACATATGGCAACCCTCAAATCCCACTTTGGATTTCAAAACTCCATTTTTTGTGTATAGGATAATTTTCCTTTATTTATTATTTTTAATGTAGAGCACATAATTGTTTTAAATGTAAACAATATAATTGATTTGATTCGATGATTCAAATTTGAATTCACATTTGTAGCAATGTTTAAATAGATAACAGATGGTACTTTAAACTAAATAGATTAATTATTAAACAACCAAAAGTTGGCCTAATAATTGTTACCCTTCTTCGAGAAATACAAGGTCTAAGGTTTCTTGATTTGGTTTTTGTTTCCCTTTTTTCCAAATATCCCTATTGAAGATATTGGAAAATGTCACCTTGGTCTCCATAAAATTTCACTTCAATTTGATTAATATGTTTTCAAACCTTTTTAACTTGGCTTTTTATATGCTTATGAATTATGAATATAAAAGAAATTGCATGTATAATTAATTATGTTTTGATACATCAAACATAAGGATTATTTCATGCATAATGCATAGTAACAAATTTATTCTAAATCTTATATTACACCACTAACGCCGATATATTTCTATCTACAATATGTATATTTACTAAGGGAAAGTTTTCCAGAATTATTTCTGTAGTTTTTTTTTTTTTTTTTTTGAGAAACATAACTTTGACTGATGTAATTTTATATTAATTTTTTGTTACAATTGAATTTTTACATTATTTATATTATATTTTTAATACATAAAATCTAAAGTTGAAATATGAAATTCTGCATTAATTTAGTATTACAATTTTTTTTATGCCAATGTCACTTATGTGAACTTTTAGAACTATAAAGATAAACTATTTTTATGTATTAATAACAGATTAACTTATATAAATAAGATTTAATGAGATTTTGCAATTTTTTGGTAATTCAAATAAAATTAGGAGTTAGTTTTTTAGTAAAGAAATTTTCAATGAAAAATTTCTATGATTAAGACATTTAATAAACACAATGTGACTTAAAGGAAAAAGAGTGGTAACATAGACAAAAATAAAAAAATTGAAGGAAAAAAAGTATCAATTATTTTGCAAATTCATTAACTCTAAGTATATATCCCATGCATTGCACAAAATAAAATCCAGTATAATCTAAAGAGGTAGATAAAGGCATCAAGTATGCACAATCAAATTAAAAGAACTTCAAGAGAATTTAGGGAAATAAATGAAAAAAAGTTGATGTACCAGACTCTGTGGTTAAAGGCATCAAGGTTGACAATTTTCCATTTGAAGCTGGAACGCTAAGAATCTTTGAAGTTCCCCTGACAGTTGATATCTGCGAGCCAGCATTTTCATGTTTACCATTTTGTGGTGCAGTTTCAAGTTCTATTTCATCTGCAATAACATTTGGAACCTCAAGCAGCAGCCGTGATTGTTCATCTGGAGTCTGAAGAAGCTCTCTTTTCTCCATGTACTCAAACATTGTAAGAGCTGAAGCAAGTTAAGTAGTCAATTATGCTTAATGGAAATGCTTCATGCTAGATACTCACAAGGTTTGACAGGCTCCAACCAACATGGCTACTTGAGAAAGACAATGTTCATTGTCAATTTTTTAATGGTAAACTATGACAGCCAGCTCTGACACAAAAGTGCATCAACCCAAAATATTACAAAGAGTCTAAGCCTCTTCATCCCTTGAGAAAGAATTGATGTACACAATAAGCCTACAAAAGAATAAGTTTTAGTCTCATAAAAAATCAAAAAGAACATTTTGAACCATTTTACTGGCGAACCCATAGAGGCATAAAAGCAAACACCACATGGATTCCCTCCCATTAAAATACGAAATCATTGATTTATAGAGGCAAAAGTAGGGGAGATGAACAAGCTCTACATCTTTGTTATGTCCCCTAAAGAACTCCCATCATAAACGTAGTAGACCTATCTGTAATCTTAAGTAAAAGACAAAAAAATCTCAGCAGTTGAACTATTTTAAACAAACATAAAATAAATTTTGTTTTAACAATTATATTTTAGGTGTGTCTACCACCTCAACAAATTCATTCAACAATATACATTGAAAGAACTTGGTTGAGTAACAAAATTATTAACACTAAACTACTGCATTTTCTTATCTCGTCACAATACCTAAAATGCAATGGGTGAGCTCCATAATTATTCAAAGTATATATTTCTAGGCATGTAATCAACAAGTATTCTAAAAGGATATTCTTTGCGCCATCCCTTTTCATTGGCACGATCAATTAGCTTTGGTAACAAGGTAAGTTCTGCAGCAATCAACTGCAAAAGAAAAAAAAAAGTACAAAATCATAGAAAAAAATTTTAGGAATTCAACTACTATACTAACAAGGTCATCATAAGCATTCCCAAGGAAACAGTGTTGTCAGCATAAATAATTCAGGTCCATAATTCACAAATACATAGAAAATATATGGTAAACAGCATTTCTTTAATACAACAACTGTTCAGGTAGCAAATTTACAACTTCAAATAATTTATATATTTTTTGTCATCTCTAATTCAACTAAAAGCCTGAAATGGAAAAGCACTAAGGTGCTATTTGATAAAAAAATTGAAGAATTTCAACCATCAATAATTCAAATTTCCATTACAAACCTTCTCAACGTATTTGATAATTTAGAAACTCAATGGAAAGTTTTCTATGAAAAAGTGTTGAAAATGTTTAAGTAGTTAAAACCTACTTTTAATGTATTCAACAATCATATTTAAGTAAATTCTTATTATTTAAGTACATTAATCTTATATCCTTCCTTTTTTAAACCTTTTTTATGTAAATCCTAATAAAACCATAGGTATCCCTTTTAGAAAAAAACTTTAATAAAATATCTAATCAATATTTATCTTTAACTAGCATGCCAAAAAATTTTTGTCGTATAAATTTAATACATAAATAAATTTCTTAGAATTAAATGTTCAACACTTAATTTTTCAATTTATCAAACAACACCTAAGGAACAAGGAACCAAATAGAAAAAGAAAATTGGCCATCAATCGACACTGCAAACACCGATAACTAGAGAATAGAATATTCAACTTCTCTAACAGTTTAAGTATGGCGTGAATGAGAATACATACATGCTTAGTTATATCTGCATGCAAAATTCGAGCCTTTGCTTCGAGTTCCATCTATCAACAGTTTAAAATAATTTTGGTATTAGGAAAAGTTAAAAAGTCAAAAAGAAAAGGGAAAGATAGGAGAACTAAAAACTAAAAACACAACAAAGCAAAATCAATGGGTAAAACAGGGATTGGAGGGTAGGGAGAAATACATGGGGAATTGATATAAAATATTAAGTAGTAACCAAACATAAACCAATAAAATCTGCAATAGCTTCACTAATTTGGTTGGTGTGTAAAAATCAAGCATAAGAGAGCATCCATTAAATATGAACTTTAGAATTTAATAAAATATCAAATAGAGAGCTATAGAAATATACAGCCAGCTTAATGGTAAGTGTAATGCAGTGAAACCATGAGAATTCAGCTTTGTGAGACATCACCAGTGCCCCATTGATGTTTAGTTATTAAACTATAGACGATTAGGACACCAGAATTCCCTTCTTGGGTTTACTTATCTGAGCAGGAACCAGACCAGGATGTGTTCCCATCTGATTAATGAAAATGGCCCAAAGTCAATATCATTTGGCTCAATAAGAGGGTCATCTGACTGAGGCTTTTAGACCTCGGAAGAAGGTCTGACAACTAACCAAAGCCAGAACTAAAACCAGTCAATGGTTAAGCAGTCAGCACAACCAGGCTGGTTTTGGTTTTAAAAAGTTCACCAACCGTAAATATAACAAGCATGAAACAGATTTATTGAAGGAGAACATTGGCAGAATGAACCACAGTTTTGACAAAAATTTCAGATCTGAAACCAGTTTATTTTTGCCATCATAAAACCCTTTTTAACCATTCTTTTCAATCACAGTTGCACCCAAATCAATCAACAGTCGGAATTAAACCTAAAACCCTTAATTAATGTCCACAGGTATAGCTCAAACTAAACATTATCAGTACAACTTGCTAAATTCCTAATCTGTTCCTCCAACCTTAACTCTACAGCAAGCTTCCCAGCTGTCCTATACCAACAATATGATTAGGCCAACAAATAAAAAGCTTTTACCGTGCAGAATCTTTTATTTATGAGTAATTAATTGCTTGAAAACTTTGACAACCTCAATTTCAACAATAATCCTAATTTTAGGAATCCAAAGAAAGAGGAAAATTCTCCTGCTCCAAAAGATACTGGCTTTTATAAACACTTAAGAATTCAATAGATGCAACATAGCCTACATATCAGTTACTGACCTCAGCTTACTCTCCCATTTATAAAAGGACACATTTAACCAGACTAAATCTGAGAGTAACCACAAAGATTTTCCATATATGCTACAAAAGGTTCATTGAATGATTTCAGTTTTATGGAACCCAAACTTATTGCAAACATTCCAAGACAAACAAGACAAACACCTTGATTTTTCAGGCATAACATAGAAAATCAATCACAAAATCTCACACCTTTTACCTTTTTGGTAAAGATGACAACAGTAAATGATTTGTACCTCAAGAAGTCTAAACTTGGTACAAACTTCTAGTATCTATTCAAACAATGCTACATCCATTACAATTCCAGAACAAGACTCTGGAATTAGCTCCATCTTTATCAAAAAAGTTTTAAGTTTTTGAGTTCTGCTTAACACTTCACCCTATGTAGTTTCCAGTTTACCTCAAACCATTTCAAAGGAGAGTTAGAAAATGGACAGTATATATGGTACAAACTAACATAGCCCTTAAAGACATAGCTTGTTAAATAGACAAAGAAAAGAAAATTTTCCTTCCCCAACTAGAATGTAATATAATGGATTATGCAAACGGTGTGAGCTTACAACAGTTGGTCTCTTCAGCAAGCCATTTTTTACTCTCTGATGCAAATCCTCACATTCTTCCTGCAAAAAAAGCCAACAAAAACACTAAGATACCCACATGCATCTGATATCTATTTCAGTGTAAACAACTACCAAATCAAATTAAGATCTTTTGCTATACCATATGCAGCTGCTCTACCAATTCTAACCTACCATAACTTCAACTATGTCTTCTTTGGAACTTCTAAAAGCACATATGCTCTAACATAAAATAGATGATCCTCATGGGACCTCAGATAAAAATGGAATGTAAATGATGAACTGATCTAAGATCTAACCATCATCAAGAGAATATTTTACGTTGTTTTTTGCCAGAAAAAGTTCAGGAGTTTGAAATAACAAGTTTCTAATATTACTAGCATCAGCAATCACTAAAGAAGCCAGCCTATATCTGTCTATAATTTAGTGTCCCACAAGCAAACTGAAAAAATATATATATATATATATATATAAGTGAACTATTACTTTACAGTTTTTCACTTCATGTCAACAAAAGTTAGTGTTTTCTTCATCAAGCACCTATTTACAATAATTTAAATTCTGTTTCAGTTTTAAAGTGAAAGGAAGAGCAACAATTCATCAAAATTATTCAAATTTCCAGAAGATTTGCTCCCAAAATTAGAAAGATGGTAGAAATTTCAGCTCGGCATTGAAATATGTAAAAACTACATGCTATTTGAATGAAGTAGCAAAATTGTTGCATATACAAGTTACCTGAGAGAAATTATCTTCAGAAAGCATGGAAATGCTAACATCTTTCACAAAATTTGAAACCCAGAGAAGAATGTCTATGTTTGTATCATTGTTTCCAGAGTACTTCATCCCTGACATCAAAAAATTCTAACACCATAAATTACCTAATTAAAATAAATGCAAAAATATTGCACATCCAATATAAGATACAGTTGCTAAATATAATAAACAACACAGATTCTGCATGTATTAATGGCAAAGGAAAAATTAGAAAATTTGGTTTTATAATTGCATTAACTGTGTGCCAATGGCTAGCCTTAAAGAATTGCAGAGAGTAGTTGTATAAAAGGTCTAAGTCATAAAAAGAAATACCAAATAATTGTTATTAGCTAAGGTTTGTTAAAATGCTCAAATTTCTTTACATGTAATAAAATAAACTAATATCTTTCCACAACCCCCAGTCGCCAATTGATCATTTAAAAAAGAATTGAGTCTAGAGTTTTTGTTCACATACTTAAAAACTATTTGAATTGCATAGAGATCCTTATATCACTTGCTTAATAGTTATAAACAGTAATTATTAGTAAAAATGAATAGCACTTCCCCTTTAAATTAGGCCCCATTTGTTTCACAGAATATGATTTCCAAAAAATAACTTCTTCATTTTTTGATGTTTGTTTAGTAGAAAATTGACTAATTGATGAAAAATGATTTATTGGTCAACAGAAAATAAAGTGTCTTTAGGAAGACAATTTCTAGAAAAAAGTTGTCAAAGAGTAGGGCTACTCGCCAAGGCCATGAGCTTAATTCGAATTGAGTCTGGACTTGTTCATGATTTTTTAAGTTGGGATCTAATTTGATTCGATTTAAAATATTATTATATTAATAAAATAATTTTTATTTTTTATTAAAAATAATTAAAAACATGAAAATATTAATATAAAGTCTTTTAATCTTTTATTTTTTTAATTTTGAAATACTAAATATTTCATTTTTATTATTATTGAAAATAAATATTTTTCATATTTAATAATAAATAGTATTCTATTATTATTTTAATAATTAACAATAAAAATTGTTTTTATTTTAATAATGAATATTATTTCATATAACACTATTATTATTTTAATAATGTTTTTTAATAATTTGAATATTTTTAATCATTTCCTAATATTTTTAGATATAAAACATATAGCATTTTTAAGATTTTAATGATAAATGTTTTTATATTAATCTTTTCATAGTAAATATAAACAAATAATATTTTTATCTTTGAATACTAAATATTTTTATATTAAAAACTTAATATTTTAATAGTATAAAGATGTTAATATTTTAATAATAAATAATAATGTCTTAAGTATCTAATATTAATATAATACTTTATTATTAAATATTATTATTAAAATATTACAATTTTAAAACAATAATATTTTAACACAAAAACCTTGTTAATATTTTAATGATAAATAATTTTCAATATTTTAATGATAGATGTTTCAATAGTTATTACGTACATATTTATCTTAATATTATTTTAATATTTAGTAAATACTTTTCAATTTTTTTAATGATAAATAATTTTTAATATTTTAATAGTTTTAACAATATTACTTTTAGAAAAAATGCAAATTTTCCCCAAAAAAAACCATACAACGAATAACATTTTTTATTGATTCATCCAAACATCAAAAAATATCTAGTTTTTTGAAAAATGTCAACATTTTCCAAAAAACATTTTCTGGAAGCTAATTTTTGTAAAACAAGCAGAACCTAAATGTCTATTAGATTTATTTAGTACATTTATGTATCAATTAGGATTCCAACCTTAGAACAATATTAATCACTCTGCTTCCTACAAGACCCACTCACAACATAAAGAATAAAAGTCAGAACTTTCAAGCACTTCAACTCCTAAAAGAGATTGACTCCAATTATATTTGGAATAGTTTTACAAATGAGCTCCAAATCTAGTTATTTAGGCTGTTTGGAGAAATGTATCATCCCAACATCAAGTATACAATTACCGGAGGTGAAGACTATTATCATCATAGATGTCTTCAATGTCAACAAAGAAAAAGCAGGAAAACCATCATAGGCTTCATTGAGTAAGTGAGATAGTAAAAATATGAAGATTGAAGAATGCTAAAAATATGCTTGGAGTCATCCAAAATAGAAAATTACACATTTAGGCTTTGCATGGTAGGAAAGATGGAAAGAGGTGAGGATGGAAAACTTGTTAATCTAATAATTAAAATTCATAACAACTTTTTTACTTTGTACCTTAACTATTAGATTAACAAAATTTTTATCTTCACCTCTTTTCATCCTTCCAACTAAGCAAAGCCTTAAGTTGTTAAAGCTTTCTTACTAGAGCCAAGTTGTCCCAAACCCTAGTGGATTGAGAGAAAAGCATCCAAGAGTCTTGCTGAAGACAAGAAGCCGCTCGATTAGTAGGATTTATTAACATACCTAGTTTTATATTTCTCAAATTTCTCTGCTTCAACTTTAAGTCAGGGACAACACCATTTTCTTAAAATTTACTTATAATTATCTTGTGTGTTGAAAGTTAAATAGAAATTATGTGTAATCAAGTACTGGGCCTTTCAATTTGCTATATCGAAGTGAAAAAAGTAATTCAAAACAATGCATGCAGCTATTTATTTACAGAAATATCTAGCTCATTAAACCAGAAACCCCCCTTATTCTACTTTCAATGTCAGGTTTTTTCTATTTCCAGTCAATATGCTGTTGACTCCTGTTTCTGTTTTTTAGACTGCATAAAAAATACGCAACAAGACAGAAATAAAAAGAGCACTTCACACCCAAAGAAAAAATGTAATTTGAAGTAAATAATTGCTAATTGCATAAGCAAATTACCTTTAACTAGCACAAGCTGATGAGAGTTTTTCTGAAGGAAGTTATTGGGGTCTGATTTGATCCTCACAAAGCTACCTACAACTTTAGATTCGAAGCTTTCAAAATCTTTCAAAAGATCCTTAACTAAACTCCTTTTCAAGTAAACCAGTTTAATATTATCTGGAACAATTGCAGCGAAGCAACTTTTCGGTGTTTCAAAAACCTTTTTCTTTTGGTAAGCCTTTCTCTCCAAACTCAAACCTTTCTGTTCTTCACCGAGATTCTCCTCATCTGAGCTAAAGAAAAAGTCGTCATCCCATGCATCTTGGTTCTCAGCATAGTGTGTCTCAAGCAAGTCATAGACTTTGATTCGGCTAATTGTTTTTCTTCCAAAAATAGAATAAAGCCTCTCATCACAAAGAATTCTCTTCTTTTTTGCCGGGTGTAGAAGGTTACTGTCATTAACATATTTTCCTATAATGTCAGTAACATCGTGTTGAGAGATCTGTTTAGTGGTGTCTATACCAATAGATTCAAGAAATTCAATGAGTGGTTTTGAACCCCAATGAACAAACTCCAGTTTCTTTGATTTGGCCTTTCTTTTCAAACTGGCAGGAGTAAGTGGATTCCCACTGTATTCTTCCAACCAAAACACTGGTACTGCTTTTGCATCCATATTTTTCACTCAAATGATAAACACTAACTTCCTCAATTTGAAAATTTTCAGTTGGACATGTACCAAAAAAAGCTTTACAAGGCAGTGTGTTCATTTCCCACGGATAGAAAGACATATGCTTACCATCCTGAACATCTACCATGCCCTGCAACCAGAGCAGAAGATAATGATGTTTAATAAAGATCATAAATGAACAAAGTCATAATGCCTATGTTTATGTTAGAGAAATCATTTTTTGGGTTATTCAGTCCCCAAGTAAACAGTTTGTGTGTGCCAAAAGTTTGCAAGCCTTATGCTGATTCAATTATAGTTGCAACAATATTCCTAACATACATAAAATAGTAATTTATGTTATTGGACATGGGAATCATTTAACTAGTAGCAGATGTTGAGAAGTTACCAGACAAGTCCGTGCAAAAAAGGTAGAGACAGCAACGTCCAAACGGATGGCTGTCTAAACTTGTCATACTAAAGACAGTATGTAGATATTCTGTGAAAAGAAGATAGAGGCTGAAACAACTAGGAGCGAGCAAAGGGAAGGGTGATTCAGATGTTTTGGTTATGTACAAAATCAAAACGTGCAGCAATAAGTAGTGGGTATGTAAGAATGATTTGATTCAAGCATATAAAGCATAAAGAGGGATTACTTGTTCTCAACAAAAAGCTATAAATTCCACAAACAATTTTGTGATTTTACAACACAATAACAGTAGTTGCTTTTTAAATTACATTATTATAGATAATACAATAGAAACTAAAGCCCTCACCATTTTGTCTATAAATAAACAGCAGATTATTATTAACAAATACAATAATAACAAGTAATTATTATTCTCCTTGTTCGGTTTTGGTCATTTTATGCGTCTTTTGAAAGAGGAAGAAAGAAAGGGGGAATTCCAAGGGCGAATGATACGAGTAATGAAATAGCAGAGAAGAAATGGAAATTTTTTGTTATAATGACGCTTTGGAGTCTTACCTGCAAAACCAGGAATTTTGCTGCAACTCTATCAGCCACTCGGAGTTCCACGCCCCACACAACAACCGCACTTCACTTGAACAGTCTACACTCTACAGCGAGGCGAGAGGCGACGATCCGACTACCATATTACCATTAGGCAGCACACACGACGTCGTTTCTTTTTTTATTCCTCCCCGTTTTTAGTTACGTCATTACAGATTTTGCGACAAATAAAATGTAATGTCCACATAAAAAAGGAAGAAAATTTAGAATTATTAAGCTTACCTTGTTTAGATTTATTTCTCTCCATTAAACCCAAACAAGTAGTGTTATTAAATTTCTTTGTGTGACATGCACCTTTGACTGGGTTGCTGGGGTTGGTAGTCAAATTTAGATAAGACATATTTACTTTGCTGAGATTTTATTTGTAGTTTGCTTAGATGTTTTAGCAATTAAATAATGGTATTGATGAAGCTAAACTTTAACTCAATCAATTGAGATATTTTGTGAGATGAAGTTTTGAACTTAAATTTTAATATTTATAATACTTTTTTTCATCATTTTAATTTATTATTAAAAGAAGTTAATTTACTGTAATTTTTTTTATTATAATTAGATTTGAATTCAAAATGTTCTATTTTAAAATGCATTTCAATATCTTTAAACTAAGGTATTATAATATATTCTCACTAATATTAATCCTTTCTAATTTTGAACGAGGAGGAGCTCCATGATGGAAATCGAATGGACACGACTCGTCTATTATTGCATTTAAATGGGAAACAATTTGTTTACGATGAGATGGAGTTCCACCTTGTATTAAAACGAAGGGTTATTAATGTGCTTGACTCACAAAAAAAAAAAAAAAAAAAAGGGTATTAATGTGCTAGATCAAAATACTTACAATGATAATATTTTTCATTAGAAAATAAAGTCGTTAAACCTAAAGAAAAATAAAATAAAAAAGGCCAGAAACATAAAAGAGAAAACAAAGATTATGTGTTTCTATTGGTATTATGTTCCACTAACGATGAAAACATTAGCCAAGTTGAAGCATAAAGATAAGAGAATGATAGTTCTTGGAATGATGATGATAAAAGTTCAAAAGTTTTTATTCACTCTACTAATCTCTTGAAGTCTAACTAGAATTGACAAGTGCATTTATTAAAACTCCCTCCATCACACCATCACGGTGGCTTCCTTTCCCTCCACTGTCAAACTCAATAATGAAATTGTGTAAATAAAAAAACATTGATGCTTCTATTTGTACCTCGTTCATATATAAATTTTTTAAATTATCTTTAAGTGAAATTATTTAAGTATTTTTTTTTCTAAAAAAAAATTTCTAAAAATTTTTGGATATGTAATTGCCAAGTTTTTAAAAGTTTTTGGATACTTATACGTAAAAGCTTTTAAATTTTTTTGAATTTAAATAACTTAAAAATCTTATTAAAAACATCAATCGTTTCTCTTTCTCTCAAACTGTTAAAATCAAGAAAAACTTCAAAAATTCGCATACTGTGATCAGATTTTTTTTTACTCAAAATTATAATTTTTATCTATCAATTTTTAAAGAAACTTATCATTATTTGAAACAAAATTTTTTTTGATAACGTTGTAGAAATTCTTCAATACATGAGATTTCATTTTTTTTCAACTAAAATTTTGGATTTAAGGTTTAAAATTTAGGAATTTTGAACTTAAAGTTTCAAGTTTCAAGTTTATTAATTTTTTAGGTTTAAGTAACTTACCATATATGAAAATCTAGTAAGTTATACAACTTATAGTAAACACATATTTAGTAGGTTATATAATTTATCGAAAACGCATACCTAATAAGTTATTTGAGTTACCAAATATGGATATCCAAAATCTTTTAAAAGTGAGAAAAGTAATTAAATAATTTCACTTATAAATAATTTTTAAAAAATAAATAAAATGAATGTAAAGATAAAAAATAATGGTACATTTAAAAGCTCTAAAAAAAAGCAAATATTGAAAAAAAAAAAAAAAAACATTGAGTATGATTACCTCTAAGTTCATTATGAATGTTATTGAGCCTTAAAAAGATGAAATAAAATTCAATTATACCTAAAACCTAGGTATATTTGGTTTTTAATTTTAATGTTTCAAGCTGATCTAGTTTTGAATAAAACTAAGTAAAAAAATCAAGAAAACTAACAAATCAACTCAAATTAGGAAGTTTGGATCACTTCAAATTTTAAAAATTTCAGTTCGAATGTAGATAAATGGCATTATTAAAATTGAATAAATGCAAATCGATTTGATTTATTCCAATTGAATTTTAAAAAGCTGAATCAACCCAAATTTTTAAAAAATCCAAAAAGTTTAAATTTCAAATTGTTTCATTAATATGTTCAAATTGAATCTAATTGAATTTTAAAGGCCTTAAAGCCCAACTTAAAACACTATCCACTCTACTGACAATTCATTAATTTATTATCTTTTTAAAATTAAAAAACTGACAATTTCATTTTTTTTAAATTAAAACTTACTCTATCCACATTTTAGAACCCCAAGTCCTAACACTACCAGGTTTCCACTCATATTCTCTTAATCTTTCATCAAGCCACTTGCTGCCTCACTCATTATCTAACATTCACCATCATTTTTTAACTTCATTGCTGATGTACAATGCATTTCCATCATTGTTCAAGACCTACTCTCTAAGTTCTCTTTTTTTAGTTCAAACTTCAAACCTCTCTTATGTTGTTCCCTTCAACTCTCACCTCATGCCTTATGGTTCATTTTTCTTTTGCACTTTCACTTTCCTCTTCTAAGAAACACCACAGATCTTTAAGATATGTCCAATTTTTTATATTAATAGAACTTAGATGTAACTCTCAAAATATACCAATTTTTGGTATTAATAAAAATTAAAATTAAATGGCCACTCCCACTAAGAAATATTTTAAAAATATGAAAATATTTGATTAACCTAACTACCTTAATCAAAAGAGAAACCATATTAAGTTATTTAACTTATGGAATGGTTCAAAGAATATGATTCTAGATTTAAAGAATTGAATATAGAAGACTAATCAAATAGGTAGTCAAATACCATGAATAAATGAGTTGACTACCTTAGGTTTCCAAGAAAAGTAGTCTATTACTATTTGCCTTGACAAATAGAAGCAAAACTTAGTTTCTTTATAAATAGTAGTCTACTACCAGACTTGAGCAATTGACTACTATGGCTAGATATTAGTAGAATTGTTCAAAACTCTATTGGAATCAATTGGTATTAATTGATAGTCTTCTAAAAATTAGCCTAAGTTTAAAGTAGTTGAATACTAGCAAATAGGAGTTGACTACTCTATAAGAGGCTGAATGTGAAACTTTTTTGGAAATTGAAAAAGAGTTGATAGCTATATGAAGCAGTCGACTACTTACATGTTAAATGCATTCTATAAAGATGAAAGAAGTGGACTACTTTATAGAGTAGTTAACTACCTTGCCACAGAAAGCATTCTAGAAATTAGAATTACAAAGAGATAGTCAACGATCTTCTTGAAACAGTCTATTGCTTTATGTGTAAAGTTACAATTTTTAAAAATGAGAAAAGTGGTTTCTTTTAGATTGAAAAGGTTAATAAGTGTAATGAACCAATTCATCTTTAATTATTTAAAATGAAATCTTTTCAATAAAAGAAAGTGATCTTTCATTGAAACAATACAATCAAAGAGTCATAACCTTAAGAGGAAATCTCTATAAATTGAAATTATTGTGAGTTCATTTGATATAATTTAGAAGTTCTTTTCTTCTTAACTTTTCTCTCATTTCTTTTAAGTAAAAGGCTAGTTTCTTTGGCATTGTTTGCTACAAAAAACTTTGTTATAGACAAGATATTTTGGTCTTTCATCAATAAGTGTATAGTGGTTTGGGTTTTCTAGGGTAAAGTAAACCTAATGTAGGTTTCATTATATCTTAGAGGTTATTTGGTCCAACATTTTTTGCATACCATAATTGGTTCAGGCAAAATAAACTATAAGGAAAGTGGCACTTGCAGTATGCCTTAAAGCTAGTTATGTTCGTGATTGAAAGTTCATTTTTGCTACTCAACTTTCAAAATAAAAAGGCTATAATAAGATCTTAAGTTTAAACATTAAGTACACATTATTTTTGTATTCTTTAAGCCTTGTAATTTTTAACATTCTTAATGTTATTTACAACATGAATAAGTTTAATTCCACAAAAAAGATAGCAACTAATTTCTAAATATTGGAAAGGTTTGACAACGGCAACTTCCTAAGGTGGCAACAAAAGATGCATATCTTTCTATCCTCAATAAGGATTGCATATGTTTGATTGCTACTTTTTGTATAGCCTACAAGTACATAGATAAAGTAATAAAATGAAAGAATTCTAGTATTGTCTCCCAAGAAATTATAAATTGTAAATATTAGGTTGCTTTCAAGTCCTAATGTTGAGATCCTAAAATCTTATATTTAAATAAATTGAATTTTAGGGTTGATTGCAAAATAAAAAAAATAGAATAATAATAGAGGCTTAGATCTCACTTATCTAACTATCACTTGGTAAACTAGAGACAATAGCCAAAACAAGATCTAAAATGAACAAGAATAAAAATCTTGAAAATAAAAAAATTGAGATTGCCGAGCATGAAACTAAAAAACTTGAATAGGGAAGAATGATGATGGCCGAAACTTGTATTGCATTAGAGTATGAATGCTTAAATCAAACTTATAAAATAAAAGAATGCTTGTGAAAAATAAGAAAGTAAAAAACATGATTTGAAATCAAAAGTAAAAAAATAAAGTCATATTGCTTTGAAGAAAAAGAAATCTTGAAAAACAAAATACTTCTTGAATTTAAAGAAAAGAATTTAAAAAAAAAACTTTTGTTATTGACAAATCTATCACCTAAGCTAATAACTAAACTTAAGAAAAACTAAGAAAAAAAAAAGGAAAAAAAAAAGAAAATGGGATGATGAAACAAGTGAGAACAACCTCTCTATTTATAAAGGGGGTTGGCTATAAAGGGATAAAAATTACAAGAGTTTGATTTTAAATCAAATGCTAAGAGATATAGATTATCTTTATCTTCAAAGTGCTTTGACCTAATGGGATTCTTGCTTCTTGAAAAGATGTAGCCGAATGGGTATCTTAGGAAGTAATTTTGGCCATGTGATCTTTGCTTGATATAATCTTGATGCAATCTTCTCATAGGTTCAGCTAAAATAGGATTCAAGACAAGATAATTGATTCTTATCCAAAGTCCTAAGTTGTAGGTTGTAAATCTTCAAAAAGATAA